TCACCCCACCCTCCTTGCTGCATATCGCTGCCGGCAATTGAAAAATCTGTTGTCTTCCTGCTCAGTGAGTTCTAAGGTGAAAATATCTTTCAGGTCTACTGTACGAGTTGAAATGGTTGTGCCTTGCTGGTGTAAGCGGAGTCGACGATCATGTGCTTGCACGGTTGACTAATTGCCGTCATATACAGATGCTCGACATCAAGTTCTGCCGACATGTGAGCTCATTCATCACAATCTTTCAGTGCAATTTCTTACTCTTCCGATATGTCTCTAGCTGATAGTTCTTCATTTGCAAAGGAAAAGGGTGGAACACAGTAGAAGGAAGTGGTAGAAAAAAGGTGACTAAGGCGGTGTTCCTACTTTGCGCTAGCGTCCGCCACCGTTCATCAGCGAGAGTAAAGAGTACAGGGAAGAAGGAAACTACAAACAGCTGGATCAATCTCGTGAAATCGCGGCGATCCAGCCTTTGCTACCCTCTTACTTCCCAATACTCCCTACTCCCGGTCTTGGTAAATGATGGTAGATGCTCGCGGACGCTGGTAGACGCTGCCGCAAAGTAGGAACGCAGCCCAAGTGACAACGGTGCAATGTAGTTTTTTTTACGTCTTTTTTTGAGAAAATGTGATGTTGTTGTGATTCCTTCAAGTGACATTTCACTCGAAAGTTTCAGGTAACAGAAGTTGGCCTGATGGTGATCCTCGACTTACCGATGCTCACTCGCCTTGAAGTTCAGGGTGTGAGAGCTTATTCAACACGCCTTCTTCAAAACATCAAACGGGTTCCTACAACGATCCTCAGTGACTGTTTGGTTCATTTACCCCTTCGTTTACCTCCGTTACCCGGCCCAGCAGTCAGCTGATCTTCCCTAGGCCTGCTCATCAAAATTTATCAGTTGATTTTTCCTAGGCCTGCTTATCAAAATTTATTCTCATAACAGTCACACCGTAGCTTCACTCATCTTGCTCAGACTTGATCCCTGTGAATGTGTATTTGTGTATATAGGCGTACATAGACGTGTGTATAAGTGTGTATAGCTTGCTTATAGGTATGTATAAAGGGTGTATATAGCTCAAATCTGTGGATAATACCTATGTAGAAAGACTTTTGAAACTGATATGTATGTGCTTTTTTATAAAATCTTGAGGAGGCACATGATTTCCGAAACCTCAGAGGCATAGTCACCGCTGATCGTGTGGGAGGAGCCCGGCCTACTTTGTTGTTTCTTCATTGGTGCATCGCACATCGTAAAGCAGTGAAAAAGTGGTGGGAGCCAGTAAGAAAGGGATAGTGGTACGTTCGATCCCTTCACTCTCCTCCCGCATGATTAGCGTGGACTCTACATTCTGAGTACCAATTTTCTGCTCAAATTATGCCCATAACAACTTCACTACCGATTCTTTGCATATTGTTCTGACCGCGGTAGCTTGCATTGTTCGCCTTTTTGGCTGCCACACTTTTAAAATGAGTTGATTATTAACCTGATTAGGTGTGTATTGCGTAATACCTTGCTCAGTTGACCTCATCTGCTCTTCAGAAATGTTAGAATCGTGAAATTAGCATCTTGAGTTGGTGCTCTTTTGTAGCTCAGGTCTCCCGTTTTCGATATGATTTCTAGTCGTTGATTGTCTAGTCGTCCTAAATACCAATAAAGATCTTATCAAACCGAATTTTGTATTGCGGCGAACATTTAATAGCAGTCCGGCATAATGTTGGTCACCTAACTTCTACCCGTCAAACTCTTACTGTAGTTAGAAATGGTGATTGAGTGACTTGTTTCGATGATAGGTTTCGACTTGCAGGCTCCGAAGAAGGCGATGTTCGCCGAAACGTTAGTCCAATAAAACTATCTGTACAAATCTCGGGAGGCTAAGGATACATTCTGAGAGGAAATTCTACAGCGAGGACATAATAACGATGGATAGACAACGATTGAACGGGGGAAGGGGTGTCATTTAGCATTTTCGCTTGAACCATCGACCTGTCGAGCCACCTGTGAAATTTTGTGAAGCCATGAGGTGATACCAGTCAAAATTTGTGAAGATGCATTTTGTCAAATTTGGAAAAAACACCTGCAACTCTTAAAGCTGGAAACGTCCGATGAGAGGGTAGCGAAAAAAGTCTTCCGCCACTGCGCTCAGGCCGAATTGTTCCAGACGGCCTACCATAGTGCTTACGCAACAGCGTGAGTAATCCTCCACGGTTGCTAACAGGAAGTGTCGGCGGTAACGTTTGTAAGAGGCGCGAAAGAAAAACACCTCGGCTGAGGACTGTCAACAATGCTGTTCAGGTGGTCAGTACACATTTGCACATATTGCTGACCAGACGAGACACTTATTGTGATGAGAAGCTTCGTCACCACTGAAACTGGATACATGAAGAGGCAGCACCGCGTTAAAGCTCCTCCATGGGTTTTTTTGTTGGAATTCAGGATTCACTTGAGCTTTTCCGCGTTTATATAAGCAACCTGAACTGACTGTGTGGTTCGTTCCACCACTGTCTGACTATATCGTTTCGGTACTGAATTCATTTTGTGTTCTTGTCTTCCATGATCGATACGTATGCACATATCTAGATGCAGCGCTAGCCCATAAGGGCCCACAATCCAATACCTCAGTGTTACAGCACGGCACGCACTTGTTACTTAATCGGTCGAGAAGACAGGGGCAAGGAAATGGGTGAACCATGTTTCATGAAATGGGAGAATCACTTGTCGCAAAAACTAGTTGGATCACCCACACTGGACCTCCTTCCCCGTAGACCTTTCAAGAATCCTCCATCCACAAACCTGCATTCATTTGCATTTTCCGTCACGGAGAAGTGGTCCGGCGTTTGGCAGTGACGTGTCGTGAGGATTTGACGTAGCGGCATATCCTGGCACGTGGCGTTTAGAAGTCGTATCGTAACTATGCCTATCTTTTTGCTTTTAGCATGTATCAATTTATGCTAAAGTTTGCCTAGGCTGATGCAGAAGTAGAAGGGTCTACCCTGCGTTGCTGTAGAGCATCACGATCAAGATTTCACCACTCTACAAGGAGATCATCATCAATGTGAAAGAGAGGCGTCCCGACATGCGACACGCAATCTCGCCGAGGCTCTTACGGATCCCTCTCGAAACATTATGCGTCAACCAGAAATGGGAAGACACTGGGAAGTGAAGATCGACGGCCGGCTAAAGCTACAACCATCTCATTTTGCCTGAAGCGAATATCGGTTGGATGACACAAAAAATCGAACAAGCGGAACGAATGGTGGATGATTTGCCTAAAAATTGGTCTACAGCTGAATCTAACGAGGACGATTTCATTATTCAAGAGTATTCTCATGATGGCAGAGAATTAGTCGAGTTTTGAGTGGCTCAAACCATACAAGATATACTCATCACAAACTTGGGTTCTTCAGAAGAAACTGCAGCACTTCTTGGAAAGAGGAACTGTTGCGATTTTTGATGCTGTTCTTAGTTTACAAAGGATTGCGTATGAAAGAAGCTATTGTCGTCCGAATGCACAAAAAAACTGCGTGTGCTTGCCGTTTACCGCAGCAAAACCCACCTAAAATATTTTCTCCATAGGAAGTATCAGGTAAATGGTACTACAGTAGGGCTGCTGGCTCAAGCAACAGCAGTAAGAAATAGCGGGCTTTCCATGCGTATAAAGCAATGTCTCCGCTTCGATGCAATTTTTTTGGGAAGCATTGCGCACTCTTTACTTCCACCCAGAATCGTAGTGGCTTTTCAAATGGAGTGTGGCCTAAACAACGATTTGCGGGTGCCAGCTGATGTAAAGGTCAGTGTTCTTGTTCCTCACAGGTGAATCTGCGACCAAGTTGTACGGCAGTGCAGCTCCTGAAGAGGGCAGAAGGCTTGGTTTATGCTGAGTGGCGGGGCGCCGCATCTGGGATGCCATCGCTTCGGCGACAGCCGTGTCGTAAACGACTATTTGCCACTAGCAGATCCACTTTAAGTTTTTTGCTTTCTAAATCGTCCCTCACGATTGTCAGATTACTATGTTTCAGAAGGGAACAGTTACAAGTGGCACCGCTCACCATACTCTCAGTCCTAGGACATTTACAGAGCGGGACCTTTGATTACTTTCATTCGCTCTTCTTTCCCCCTTCTTTTTTCTGATTTCAAAAGCTCATCCACTCAACTAGCGCAACGAGATAAAGCTTTTGGACTTCTGCGACAAGCAATGCGCTCGCAAGTTCGCTGATGCCTTGCGATTGCCGTCTGCTGGTGAGGTGTCGTATACCCACCTGCCAGAAGCAGAACATGTAGGACATTCCTGATGGGTGTGCCACATTCCTGAGGGGACAGAGCTTTAGCTTTTTGAATCGCTGCTTTCATGCTCCACCAGATACATTTGCCGTTGACATCATTCTAGTGTTTTGAAATGCACCGCGCTCTATGCCTATGGGTGCCTGCTGCGTGCATGAACAACATCAGGGCTCCAGGCCCTTTGATTTCCGACGGGCAGCACTCTCCGCACTGTTTGCTCTATGTCCAATAATCTTCCTGAACATGTGGCTCTACCTCACCATTGTAACGGTAACCAGCACTGCTTTAGCTATACCAGCGGTAAGTTTGTTGACTTCAACAGGGCCTTGAATTGTGATCTTACCGAATGCCTATTTTCAGCCAAAAGAAGCTAGTCAAAATAAGACTAGAGCGCCACACCTGATTAAAGAAAAAATTCTCAAGGAGTCAGCTGCATTGAACGAACCTGAACAAGAAGTCTACAATGTATCAATAGCATTTGCCAACGATACCAGCAGTTCGGAATTGAAGACAATCAGATCGAAGCGATGCGTATGCCCATGTCCTTGTCCATGTTTCCCTCCGGTGAGTTCATTTTGTGTGAATTTTTCAGAAAGGGCTGAATTTATTGTCTTACTGACTTTCGTTCAGGCTCCACCATGTGTGATACCGTGTCCAGTTCGAATGCCGATCGGTGTGCCGTGTCCTTTTCCTGAACCGGTTCCGATGCCTATTCCGGCTCCAGTTCCTGTACCGGTACCACGGCCAGTGCCAATAATCTGTGCTCCGGTACCGATTCCTGAACCAGTTCCACTACCGGTTCCACAGCCTATGCCAGTGCCAGTGCCTGCACCTGTACCAGCTCCAGTGCCTGTCGACATACCAGTTTTTTGTGGAGGACCATGTCCATGTCCATGCCCATGTCCCTGCCCATTTCCTCCATTTCCTTGTGTGAGTTTGTAGAAGTTCTATATGAGTCTTTTGTTCAGCATATGAAGGGCAAAGATAAAATGACAACTTTTAGTGAACCGGCGGTTTGACGACTCTCCGACGCCAAGAATCTCGTTGAGAATCTGTGTTGTTGCTTTGAAATGTTGTAAAATTGTGATGAATTGTAATTATAATCTAATAAATATGCAATCTCACTCATACAACCTTACCTCATTGTTAAGTAAGGCTGCGTTCATACTTTGCCATACCGTCCACCAGTTACCAGCGTCAACTAGCGCTCCGAGCCTCCGTAGGCCGGTCACCCAGTACCAGGCGGTCAACTAGGCCCCGCTCGAGGGCGCCTCCGGGGCAATGTCAGCGATTAGGAGATGCATAGGAATCTGATCCCAGGGCGGTCTACCAGCGTCGCGTCTGGTAGCAGTCCACCAGGGCGGTTCACCGGCCTTAGTAGAGGAGTATTGGCGAAAGTAGCGGAGGGGTAGCCAAACAGCCTGGTGGTTAGGCTTCGTGAAATTGGGGCGTGTGTAACTGCGCTGCACAATGGCTAAAGCACGGAGTTATGCACTTTAACGTACGGTGTAGTCGTACGCTTCGCTGGTGGACGCTATTGCGTGCTTTAGACAGCGTGCCCGCAAAGCTAACCGAACGGAACCGATGTGAAAAATTGTAGCGGCACAGTCGCCTGTCACTCTTTATAATGTTCGGCTAGGCCTTCGAGTAGCACAGCCGGCACACGCGAACTGTGGCGGGGGGGGGAGGCGCGAATTTTCCGAGAGCGCGGACGCTAGTTCGATACCCACACTATTCTAGCATTCGAGACGCTGGTGGACGCTTATTGACGCTGGTTGACGTTGATGGACGCTGTTGAATGCTGGAGACTGGACGCCCATGTGCCAAGGAGTCTTTACTTTCTCGTCGCTTCACGTTGCCGACGTAAAAGCTGCCGTGAACGCAATGCGGTGCGGCTTTGTGAACGACTGCCGCCAAAGTCTATGAACGAACTTCTGTGAAAATCCGTAGTAACGAACGAGTAGGCCTTTGAGTGATCTATGCTAAATATAGCGCACCATACAGATAAAGAAAGCCGGTTGTTCAGCAGATTCAGCACAGTCCTGTCGCTCCATTGAAGCTTCTAAAAGCCCTCCATTGCTGGACATATATCTTACCTCCTCGTCACTTTTTTCTCCTCCAATTCCAGGGGGAGAAACGCCCTAAGGGGGCGGGGTGGACAATGAATGCTACAAGGATTATGTAGTTGCTTGCGCAGTCAGCCATTGTACAATACACATGATTTGTTGGCCTCCAAGTCAGACTTTGTACACTCTCACACGGACCCGTCGTCTTTCCTTGGCAAATTGAACGCTTGTATCCTGGGCGTGACCCTGTACGGGGTTTTCCTTCTGGACCACAACTGGAGTGAGCGGGCCATTTGCTGATACACCACTCCCGTCCAAAAGAATGCAACATAAAATAATTCAAATTCTTTATTGGCTGTGAGCATTGGGAAATCTTGTTGGGCAATGCAAGAAAACTGGTGGAGTGATGTGATGATGTGCAGCCAATGGACCATATGCGGGCAGGATCCTCCATTTACTTGTGAGCAGGATCTTAACCAATTTCCACGTTTAGCACATCCATTATAAATCGGCCTATACAAAGAAAGTTTTGTGGTCTCACCTTCATCTTTGTCGTCTTCTGATCCTTCGCCATGGGGTGGTGTGCACGGGCCACCCGGGCCACCTGGGCCACCAGGACCACCGGGGGCACCCGGGCCACCTGGACCCCCGGGACCACCTGGGCCACAAGGACCGTGCATTCCTGTCGATTTCATCTGTTTCATGACCGCAAACAACGCGTTGTAGACCTAAACAAAACACGAAGTATTTGGGAAGGTCGCATCTTGAGAAAAAAGTAAATCGCAAAAGTCGAACCGTTGGATTCTCATTTTTGAGTGCATCAATAGAAGTCTTTATTTGGAGCATAGTTTGATCTTCGTTATCCATCAATGCAAAGAATTTCCGTAGAGCTGCCGGCATTGCATCGACAAGTTCGGTCACATTCTTTTTGAGTTCAGCGATGAAGTTTGTCATACTCTTCTCATACTCTTCCACCTGCGTCTAGAACACAGATGATTTAAGAGTCCCATAACTATAAAGAATAACTAGTTTTTTTCAGCAAAGTCGTTTGGGAGGGGTATCCGGCGGCAACGAGATCGCGTCATGTCTTCCTGTCTGCACCCTTTCACCGATAAGGAATGTATAAAGGCATCCTGAAGCTTCGCAAGGCGGAACAGGACATGACGGAGAAAGTTCGAGAGCCACGTGGCCTCTTTCGCCAAGTCGTACAGACTGGTAGTTTAGGCCTTCTGGGGCAGGACACGAT